TTGTCATAGATAGATCGTAATAGATAGAGTGTTACAATGCAGTGAAAATAAAAGAGCGATAGTCAACCAAAAGGGTTGCTACCGATGCAAGGACCGTTTATGCCACGCAATGGGCAGCCCTGTTAGTATGCCTAGAAACATAAAAAAAAATGAATAAACGTAAAAGAATTCTTCTTCCGGCAAACTTCTTGAAGAACCTTGTATCAGCCAATTTATGCCGAGCACAAACCTGCAATCAACACCCAACAAATGTACCAAACACAAGTGTATAATTAAATGTATCATTGAGTAAGAATTAAAAGTCGTAAACTGAATGTGGTTATGAACCACATGTGGAATTGTGACCGCATATCCGTCGTAATTATAATTGTCCTGTACTTGTAACCATCAGAATCGTTATGCATCTGGGATTGAAGGCTCCAATTTGTAACTGCCACCGGAATTTGGATGCCGGAATTGAAAGTGTGAAGAGGAAACATACTCGTCATTGCTATACACTATTCCTCCAAATTGCCAACCATTGTGTCGCTGTATCAACAGTTCTGGCATTGATGAAGCCTGCAAAATGAACAAACGAAATATGGCCACTCAATGGCACTCAATATCTCCCTCTAAACGGAGTCAATGAGGCCCATAACTCATAAGCCACAGGCTATAATCCGAATAACAAAACAGAGTAGTATGTAAACGCATCAAGGAGAGGTAGACTGAGCATGAACTGGAAGGTCGCTGAAAAGAGGGAAAGCGAAGAAACCGTCCAGTTAAAAGAAGGCCTCATATCTGTCTCAATAACTGATTGCGAACCCGCTCCCCACCGGTCGGCTACACCTTCCTCCATTCCGATTGCTCCTTGCGCTGGGGGTGGATCCTTCTGAAATGCACATGATTGACGCCCTCCCCGTCGCTTCAGGATTGTCTTCGTGTTCCTTCGCTACACCATGTTCCTGTGTATTCTTGTCTTCAAGTGGATCTGCGCCTGCGGAAGAAGAAGAAGGTCGTCGCGACTCTGTTTCCTCTCCCGGCTTGATCTTGGCAACCATCGCCGCCTGCCTCGCCTAGGCCGGATTCCGTTGATGGGAACCGACGGATGCAAAGAAACTGTCCACCACCTGTCACCGCCGCATCTCCAAAGCCGCTGCAGTTGGCAAACCAAACCCACCGCTCCAACCAACGACCCGCGCCACTGCCGCCTCCGGCGTCGCGTTCGTAGCTGCTACTCTCCCTCCGGCTCTGCCTTCATTGATTCGTGTAACCGCCGTTTATTCCACTCCTCGATGAAGTTAGTTTTCTTAATTGCATGTTATTATATGAGAGATGTATTGCAGAAACATGGTTCGGTTAAATGTATTTGTGTTGGAATTGTGTTAGTTTATAGAGTTGAGATTTCAAATACTCTGTACCCTCAAATTAATTGAGATTGCTCGACTGTAAGAAGAGAGAAAAGGAAATTGACCTCGACGGAAATGAGTGGGAAAGATTTTGATGCAAAAATTGGAAATTGAAATTGTAATAAAATACATGAAAAAAGTTAACAATAAACTATTCCACTCCTCCCCATCTCATCCAACCAAACAATTCATTCTAATCCAAACCGTCCGTTGTTGGTTATTTATTTAGGAATGTGGGGTCGTTTGGTTTTGGCGATAGTTAAATTGATGCATTATAAATAATGCATGCATAATAATATACATGTATATAAGAAAATTGGTGTATTGTAGTTTACATCGTTTGGTTTCTATGATAGTTATTCAAATATTGAAATAAGTTATATTACTTTTTGGATGAAATGTCATTTTTGCCCTTTGTTCTTAATATTAAAAAAGCAACACACATAAAAAGGTAGGGACATAGCTAGAACAAAACAAAACCCAACAATCTCTACCATACAATCTCAACCAAAACTTGAGATTTAACTATCACTCATTATGAATAATAGTTTGTGTCAAATCAAGCAAACAATACATGTATTTTTTGTGCAGAAAATTTAAAAACAAAACGATGCATTATGGACAATGCATGTATTGTAAGTATCCCAACCAAACTATCACCAAAACCTTTATTGAGAAGATGGGGCCCACTGAAGATCTGGTTCAGGTTATGGGCGTGACTGTGTGGTGGGCCCACAAGCACGCGTGGCTCGCATTTTATATTTGTCGACGACCTTTCCATGTCATTATGCCGCACTAGATTATGGGCTTACGTCCCAATGATTGTTAATCCCTGGCTGCTCCAATTTCGCACGTGGACCCCTAAAACCAATCCCCTTCTATTATTTTATAATTAATTACATTATTAGCTATGTATGGATGACAACATTCATCACATCTTTTTTATTTATTTTATTACCTAGAACCTCAGTGTCACGTGCCACTTTATGATAGTGGGTCCTACTAAATTTGGACTCACCTGCATTCAATTCGACGCCAACGCCAGCAGCTTTATACCTCCGGGAACACCATCGGGCCTCGCATGGATTTGAACTTGGGATCTGATAACATTCACATCTTAGTTTCAAATCTCGTGTCCAACAACCAATAAAAAATTTGTCAATACGTCGTACTAGAACATGAAATTTGTATGTTTCATAACCTAGCAAAATGAATATAATCTTGTAGAGCATACTTAATATGATTTTTTTGTATAGAAGAGAAAATGTTGAGTTAAAACGAATAACTTATGATTCCTTTAAAAGAAAATATGGAGAGGTTATGTACGTAGTTGTGTATAATTCTAGGCTATACACATAATGTTGAGCCATACAAAATAAATCGATTGACAAAAATGAAGATGGTGGCAAGAGAGAGAACTCGTCTAAAGATCGAAGACTTAAAAGTCGACCCTATAAAAGCAATACTTTTTTATAAGGGTGATAAAAATTTTACTTTATATTATTAAGGTACTATTTAATGAATTCAAACTTGGGACCTCCAGGTTCTAGGTTGGTGGTATTACTACTAGACAAGTCCTTGTTCGTTCTTGTAAAGCAATACTTCGAACATGAATTGCAACATCACCTATTATGTGCTAATTCATGTAAGAAAAACCTATTATGTGTTAATGTGATCGATATAAAACACATCAATAATGAAACCACAACCCTAACAACGAAGATCAAAGAAAATAAATCGGCGTAAACTTCCAAATATCGATCCTATAAAGCAATACTCATAACATTAACCATAACATTATCTTATTGCGAGTTAATGATCGATATAAAACAATACATCAATGATGAAAGCCATGCTCCTAACAAAGTAACAACAAAAAAGTGAGAAAACTAGCTAGTAGTAACTTAATAAAATCGACTCGATAAAGAAAATTAGTTAAAAATTAAATTGTGGACAAATATAAGCAAATGAGTGAACCCATGACTTATAAATAAGGAAAAATTTATAACTCCCTACATAACTATATATATATACATATAAGTGATTACTTCGGTGCACTCACAAAAATGAGTGCGTTCAATGCACCCAACTCAAAAACTAATCTTAAGGTGTCGGATTTTGAATTTTAATGTGTAGAATTAGTGTAATATGATGACATAACATATGATAACAACTAATTAGCGGATTACCCTAAGCCTTATACCTCCAATTTTGAGTTCTATCCCTAAACCCCATATTGTAAACCCTAACCCTAACCCTAAATCTCTAAACTCTAAATCCTTCAAATTAAAGTAAATTTTCAATGGGCTTTTTGCAAATTCATGTGCGTTATTGTTCATTACATTATAAGTGATGATTGACATCATTTTGACATAAATCGCATGTTTAAAATGACGGTTATGAAGCGAGTGTACTGAATGCACCCAAAAAAGTGAGTGCACCGAAAACACCACTATATATATATATATATATATATATATATATATATATATGGTGGCTTCTATCGTACCTTGGGTAGAATCCAGGGTACGATATACCTTGAGTAGGAAAACACTATCATGACCTCGAATTAACCGGTATTTTGGGCATGATACTATACCCTAACCATTGATGAGTGAACCCTAGGTCTTAGGTATTTAAATCATGGAGCCTAACCCCTAAGATTATACATGTAGTTTGGTACATATATTTTGATGAATCATGACCGTCGATTTTTGTTTCTAATTAAATTGATCTTAGCATATGAGATTTATAGAATTAAGACATAGATTTTAATCTTTAATGGTTTGGGAACAATGCCAGATGTCAAACTCCGGTCAATTCAAGGTCTATATATCAATTTCTTACTCAAGGTATATCATACCTTTGATTTTGCCTAAGGTACGATAGAACCATCCATATATATATATATATATATATATATATATATATATATATACATATATGGTGCCTTCTACGGTACCCCGGGTGAAATCCGGGGTACCGCATACCTTGAGTATGAAAACGCTATCTAGACCTCGAATTAGCATGATTTTTGGGCATGATACTATACCCTAACCCTTAATGAGTGAACCCTAGGTCCTAATTATCTAAATCATAAACTATAAACCCTAAGATGGAGCATTACTTTTTTTTGCCTATATTTGGACGAATCATAACCGTCGATTATTATTTCTAATTAAATTGATCTTGGGATATAAGATTTAGAGAATTAAGACCTAGATTTTGATCTTTATGGGTTAGAGTATAGTATAATGTCCGAAAGATCAGTCAATTCAAGTTCTAGATAGCGTTTTCTTACTTAAGGTATGCGGTACCCCGGATTTCACCCGGGGTACCGTAGAACTCCCCATATATATATATATATATATAGTGGCGTATACGGTGCACTCACTTTTTCGGGTGCACTCAGTGCGCCCTCCTCATAATTGTCATTTTGAGCATGCGATTCATGTCAAAACGGTATTAATTTTTTTTTTTTTATGAAGGTGAAAGTTGTATTAAAAGAAGAAGAATCCGATACAGATGGGCACCAGGAGTGCAGCCAAAAGAAAGAGACACAAAAGGAAAGAAATAAAGAAAGAACGACAAAAGCACAGGGGAAAAACACAGGGGAAAAGCAAACACAAGAAGGATCAGGATAGGGTAGAGCACTGGGTCACTTTTGAAAAAAGGCGGAGATGGTTGGACCGTAACGTGAAAAATACTGAAACAAATACCAAAAATCAAAAATTACAAGTGTTATACTAGCTCGAGATCCAGAGGAGGGCTGGGCCGCAGCCCGGGGGCGGCCCCCTGGATCCGCAGCTGGACGTCGTACTACAACGTGAAGTTTGTTTGTTTCAGAGCCTAGCAAAATGAATAACATATTGAAAAACTTCCTTAAAAATAATATGGAGGGGTTGTGTTAAAGTTATACACATAATGTTGAGCCATACAAAATAAATTGATCGGCAAATATGAAAATCGTGGCAAAAGATAGAACTAGTATGAAGATCGAAGACCTAAAAATCGATCCTATAAAACAACACTTTAAACATGAATTGCAACATTACCTATTATGAGTTAATGTGATCGATGTAAAACGCATCGATAATGAAAGCCACAACCCTAACAAAGAAGAATGAAGAAAACGAGTTAGTAGAAACTTCCAAATCTCGATCCAATAAAGCAATAATCTAAATATTAAGCCTAACATTATCTTATTACGAGTTAATCTAATATGTATAAAACACATCAATGATGAAAGCCACAACCCTAACAACAAGGGACAGAGAAAATCAACTAGTAGGAACTTCAGAGACTCGATTCGATAAAGAAAATTAGTTAAAAGTTAAATTGCGAAGAAATAAGAAAACGAGTGAATACGTGACCTATAAATAAGGCTAATATTCTAATTCCCTATATATGGTATACCAAAACATGGTAAAAATTGATTGCAAAACAAGAAATAAAGACAAGAATAAGTCAATGAATTTACTCATTTGATTCTCCTTCCATATATTTTGTTCCCCATGAAAATGAGTTTAAATGTCTTGCCAATATACCCAGCTAATAAAAAAAAACAGCATGAAAATTAGCCCAATACCATAAATATAAATAAATAAATAAGTCAGGGAAATAAATTAATAAATTCAAAATTAGTTAGAGAGTAGAGTATTTAGTTGAAATCATACCTCTATAAATTGAGAGAATAATCGGGATAAAAAAAAAGGACTATTCCTCTGTTTTTTCTCCTCTTGTCTCTCACTCTCACTCCCTAAATTGCAGCCCGCCGCCATTTTCAATCCCTTTTTCGCTCTCCTTTCAAGTCATAATCCAACTGGGTTTCCTCTCAAATCTAAGCCTAGATACTCACCTGACAAAAGAATAAGAAAAGAAAAAAAAAAGCTTGGGGAGTGAACAATGGCTCAGAATTCTTCTCATGGCCCAAATTTCCCCTGGAACCGAAATGCAGAGCAACAGAACCAGTATCAAAATCGGATTCAGAATTATAATTTCTACCGTCCTGAAACTTGGAATTCTTCTGCTGCTTCTTCTTCACAAAATGTTATTAACCAGACCAATCCCAACAATGCTACAGATTCAACTTTTAACTACAGTCTCGAGCAGGTTTCCCCTCCCTCAAGATACTCTGTTTTTCTTTTCTCTGTCTCTGGCAATGGTGGAGAAGTGAAACGAATTTCTTCTTTTAATTCTTATGGGTTCGTTTTCTTTTTGGGTTGCAGCTGAATTTGCCAGATAACCTCAGTAGCTTGAAACCACTCGGATTAAAGCTGAACAATTCTCCCGAGCTGGCCAGGTGGATCGAGAGACAACTGAATCGTCCTCCGACCGGAAAAACCAGGCTCAGGGAACCCAAGTCCCAGGCGGCTTCCGATAAGCCGAAACCTGTCATCACTCCCGCAAGTATGCTCAAGATCGGTTCTTGGGAGGTAAAAAATGACCTTAACAGCGAAATCCACTTCCGATTTCATCTGGGTTTCATGAAATTTTTATTCCACTCTGTTTTTGTGTGTGTGTGTGTGAAAACAGAGAGTTGCGAAGAATACGAGTGATCTGACGACCAAGTGTTACTTCGCGAAGAGGAAACTGGTCTGGGAGATATTGGAAGGAGGGTTGAAGAGGAAGATGGAAATGCAGTGGTCTGATATCATCGCCATTGACGCCTGTATTCGTGAAAAGGAGCCTGGAGTTCTTCGTATCGAGGTTTTTTGCCGCGTTTTCTTTGTGATTTTGTTTTCTGATAATGATTCATTTCATTTTCTCTGGGTTTTGATGAAGTGGGTTTGTGTGATTTTATGTTGCAGTTGAATCAGTGTCCAAGTTTCTTTCAAGAAAAGGACCCGCAGCCGAGAAAGCACACAATCTGGATGCCGACATCGGATTTCACAGGCGGCCAAGCTTCGAAATGCAGGTGAAAACAAATTGGTTCTCCACGTATGCTTTTTCTTTTTTCGTGCATGTTGGTGAATTCGTGGATTTTCATACGTGTTTTCAAAGTCCGGTAGCTTTTAATATTATCAACTTAATTAAAACAGTCATATTGAGTCGATTTATTAAGATGAGTTGATTATTTGACGTGACCATATTTTGAGATTTTGATAATCGTTATTCATTAGCACTGATAGTTAATTGAATGATCGAGTTATGGAAAATTCGAATTGAAGGGACATCAATTGGTTCTTATTACGATCTTGCTATCGAAATTCTTATAACTATTTAGATTAGGAAATATGATTCGAAGGAAAAATGGTTATTTGACGTGATCATGTTTTGATCAACTGATAACCATTAATACTAATAGTTAATTGAATGATCGAGTTGTCGGAAATTCGAACTGAAGGTGAAGAGACATAACATGGTTCTTAATAAGATCTTGCTCTCAAAATTCGTATAACTATTAATATTAGTAGATATGATTCTGAGGAAAGTGGTATGGTATGAATTCTTGGAACTCCCTCGACAATACCAACTATCGTAACTACAATTTGTTCTTGACATAGAAATGTGTTTGATCTATGATGACTCTTCGTACTCAGAGCTATACTTAGTGTGTGTCGAGTTATTTCTGATCGTGTTTTTGAATTTTTGACATAGAAATAAATGTGTGATCTATGATGGCTCTTAGTACCCATAGCTAGATTTTACTTACAAGTTATGGGAAATACAAATTGATGAGCGCATAAACTGGTTCCTATTACGATCTTGCTCTCGAAATTCGTACAACTATTAATATTTGTAGATATGATACAAAGGAAAATAGTTATTTGACGTGATCATGTTTCGAGATTCTGATAACCATTAATACTAATAGTTAATTGAATGATCGAGTTGTGGAAAATTTGAACTGAAGGGACATAAATTGGTTTTTTATTACGGTCTTGCTTTCGAAATTCTTATAACTATTAATATTAGTAGATAGGATTAGGTGCAAAGTGGTATAAATGTGTTCTTGACATTAAATTCTTATAACTATTAATCTTGGAACTCTCTCGACAATATCAACTATTGTAACTACAATTTGTTCTTGACATATAAATGTGTTTGATCTATGATGACTCTTCGTACTCAAGAGCTATATTTGCTTACAAATTATTGTGTGTCGAGTTATTTCTGGTCGTATTTTCTAATTTTTTAACATAGAAATAAATGTCTTTGATCTATGATGGCTCTTAGTACCCATAGCTAGACTTTACTTACAAATTTATTATGTGTCAAATTATTTCTGATCGTGTTTTTCAATTCTGAAAATCTATAATATTATTCGTTTGACTTAATTATAAGTTATTATGAATAGATATTTTGAGACTAGTGGTTATCATTTTCGTAACCCCTACTTTTAGTAACATGATTTGCTTTTAAGTTACCTTGAATTTGTGCAAACTGATTTCGTTTGACGGGATGGATACAAAATAAAGTATGATATTGTTCAATCTTTTCTATCTAGTCGTGATATTTGAGCATATCATTTGTTAAATAACAAATTAACAATTTCAATCATCATGTTACTAACATAGGAGTTAATTTGATTTGAAAAAATGTGTTTTTTAACAACCCTCTACAATTTGGCAACACAATTTTTTCATAAGTTCCACTGATTCCTTGTTTGCTCTAATACCTTTCTTCTTCTTTTCCAGGAGGCATGAAATAGTGTTTTCACCAGGGAACCTAGACAAGCCATACAAGAGTCTTCTACAAGCCGACCAAAACCTCTCTGAACTAAGCAGTAAGCCATTCCCCAGTCTCGAAGATCCTTACTTCCCATCTCTGTATCCCGATTTCAACCCGACCCCCAACTCGGTTACGAACCCAAATCCTCAGCAGCAGTTCCCCCAGCTTTCCTCTCCATCCCCAATTCCAGGTACTAAAACAACGTAGTAAAAAGCTTGTTCCTTTTCTCCCTGCAACTTTCTTCCGAGATAACATAGTTATGCAATTTTCCCCATTCAGATGAGCAAATGACTACCAATGCTGCAATGCGGGGTGAGAAGATGCTCCCAGAACCTAACCCTAATGTTGGGCTTGTTAGGTCCAATAAGTCAGTAGCAGCAGCCACAGCCTCCACCATGGGGAACCAGTACTTAGCACCGCGGAGAATGTATTATGGTTCAAGCTCGGGTGCTGTTTCATTGAATGGGCAGATCAACAACAACAACAACCTGTTGGATACTGAACCACGGAAAATGTATTATGGTTCGAGCTCGGGTGCTGCTTTATCGAATGGGCAGATCAACAACAACAACAACCTGTTGGATACTGAACCACGGAAAATGTATTATGGTTCAAGCTCAGGTGCTGCTTTGTCGAATGACCAAATCAACAGCAAAAACCTGTTGGATACTGAACCACGGAGAATGCATTATGGTTCGAGCTCAGGTGCTGCTTTGTCGAATGACCAGATCAACCGCAATAACCTGTTGGATACTGAACCACAGAGAATGTATTATGGTTCGAGCTCAGGTCCTTCTTTATCGAATGGGCAGATCAACAGCAACAGCCTTTTGGATGCTGAAATGATGAGCATCAGTCATTTCAGTGGGTCGGTATCGGATCTGGATGGGTCTCCTTCTTTAGTCGTTGATAAGGATTACCTGATGAGGGCAAGATTGGAACTCCTGGGAGATATGGAGATTGATCATGATGCTGAATTTGCAATTCGTCCGAACGAGATGTTGTACGACCAGCAGCACCAGCAACAGGGTTTTGCTCCAGATCCCTCTGCTGCTGGTTTGATTACAAGTGGTGGGGAAATGCATGAGCAGCAGCATCAGAAGCAGAAGCAAGGTTTTGTTCCTGATGTTGCTCCTGCTGGTTTGATTACAAGTAGAGGGGAAATGTATGAGCAGCAGCAGCAAGTTTTTGTTCCGGATCACGTTGCTGCTGGTTTGATTACAAGTGGTGGGGAGATGTATGAGCAGCAACTTCAGCAGCAGGAGGTTTTTGTTCCAGATTCCGCTCTTGCTGATTTGATTACAAATGGTGGGAAAATGTATGAGCAGCAACATCAGCAACAGGAGGTTTTTGTTCCAGATTCCGCTCTTGCTGATTTGATTACAAATGGTGGGGAAATGTATGAGCAGCAGCAACAGGATTTTGTTCCGGATCTCGCCGCTGCTGGTTTGAATACAAGCGGCGGGGAAATGTATGAGCAGCATAATCAGCAGCATCAGGCTTTTGTTCCGGATCTCGCTGCTGCTGGTTTGATTACAAGTGGTGGAGAAATGTATGAGCAGCAAAATCACCAGCAGCAGGATTTTGTTCAGGATCCCTCTGCTGCTGATTTGATTACGACTGGTGGTGAAATGAATGAGCAGCAGCAGCAATCAGGGTTTTTTGAGTATCCCCATCTTGATGATTTTGGGATGATGCAGTTTGACCAGGGTAACAACCTCGAGAGCGTTCTAAGAATGGATCTTGAGCAGGCACTACAGTTTTAGGTAGAAGATTTGAGAGTAGGGTATGTGCTGATGATTTTGAACACAGCTTCTTGAAGCTTATTTGTTTACCATTGTTAGGCCAATTCTTGTACGAGACAGCCTTGGTTTTTCTTAGTTCTAGGGGTTTAGGGAAAGATTGGAACTTTACTAGGTTTTTTAGCTTAGTTGGAGGCGGAGAGAATTTGATGAACAAGGGATCTTGAGAGATTCTCATGTTTTGTACTCTGGAGAGTGAAGTGAGCAGATCTCTCAAATGCAATGCAGAAACTGAAACAAATCAGAATAAATGGAATTTCATCTCAACTTTTCTTGTGACAATGGCAAAGTAAGATATGGTATCATTTGAGTTATTGTGATAAATTGGTATTTTAATCGGCGAAAGAGTTTACTGATAGATATTTCTCGTGTTTAAGTCTTTGTGGCTTATAATTCACCCAAATAAGTAGCGAGGAGGGTCATATAGACTCAAATTGAATTCCATTCCAACATGTAAACAGATTATCTTTCAACTCGTAAGTTTGCACTTGAGAAGTAAACTAAACTCTCTGCAGAAAGACTTCAAAAACTATGACTGTAAAAAACGTTCAATGAAAGCGAAGGTACCAAATCAATAAATTCTCTGTTCTTATAAATGATCTCATTCTACTCTAAGCAAGGTTCAAAGTCTTTGAATGGGATATTTACTCGATCGATCATCAGCTGATTTTCTTGCAACTTCATTAGCAGCGCCACCTTTCTCCATGTTCATGTCGTTGTGCCGCCTTTTCTTCGGATGTTTCAACAAAGATTTCTACTTCATACTTGCTATCGTTTACTCCTCTTCTTTCTTTGTCTCTTCCTTGTTCTCTTTGTCCCTAGAAACTTGTGGTTCATGATTACTCGGAGGTGGAAATAACGGAGGCTCTTGGCCGCTTAATTTGCAGAACACTCTTTCAACCGTGTCACTTATTTCTTTCCCCAATTCATTGTTGTCCAGAATCAGTTCCCACACCGATTTCGAAGCCTTCTCGAGCACAGGAGTTCTACAAATGAAAAGAACGTGGAAATTGCAACTATTAGGATTCCATTGAACTTTGAATGAATAACATCAAGCAGATTGATGATCTTCAATCTGAGAGCATCAATGGTGTCGTCATTCATCAGACATTCCAAAACGTCTTCTGGAGATATCACCGACGAAGAAGAAGATGCCTCCATATCTGAACCCTCCCAAGTCCCAACAAAACCAGAAAATAAGAACCCTAGAAAGGATGAATTCAGTTTCTTTTCGTCCTTACCGCCAATCTTCTCACTCTTATCTATCGGCAAACAAGGAACAACAAATAACCCAACACCGGAAAACAGTAAGATTCAATTCCCTACCTTCGAAACCCATTGAAGAAAGGGGGACATAAAGATCGAATACCCTCGGCCTCAAAAGAAACCAGCAATTTTAGGAGGACGAAAAGAGAATTAGCACCTGCAACAAAACTACGCGCCAACACGAGCTGGGTCTGCCGCCACAAACACCCACAGCAGTGTGAAGAGTGTTCGCGCAGAATTGGCGAGGTGGACGATGAAAGGCGCCGCCTTCTGAACCTTTTTTTGATTTTTTTCCCTTTTTAGTTCCCCCCCCCCCCCAACCCAGCTGCTACTCTTCTGATTCTTTCTACAGAGAATGGCGAAGAAGGGAACTTATCTGATTTCCTCGCTCTAATTGACAGTCCGGAGAGGCTAATACGATGTCGTTTACCCACATTTCTCTGGCCTTTGACCGTTTGGCGGGCAACGGTAGCTGAGTAGTGGGAAGAGGTTTCGCGTTCGTCAGAATAGAACCCACAATGAAAGTCGTAGCCTTTAAATTTTAATGGAGGCCTCGGCATCTGAAGCCCATAACTTAAAAGTTGTAAAGCCTTGTAAGTTGTAATTGGCTCTTAATGTGATCCTAATTGGTATGAATTAGGATGAAGTACATTATCATTGAAAATGTTAAATGTATAAAATTAGAATTAAATGGAACAAATCCTCATGTGGAGAAACTTATACTCGATTTCATTAGAGACAAAATGATCAGTATTCATCAAGAGTATCATCTATCCAACAACAATACATTACTCTCTTCCTTTGAATCTTCCCTACACCCTCATTAGGACTACTCTACTCCTATCAAAAGGGTTTATTGGTGTTCATCATCTTTATCCAAGGAAGATGAGAGATAGCTCAAGATGAAGCCGTCTAGCTCTCCTTCAAGCACTGGATCCGAGTTTGAAACCTAGTGCCCGGTTCGGAGATCCTTAACCATACGGTATGGCTGGAGAGAAACACAAAGCAAACCCAAAATGTCACATTCGTTGAGCTACTCAAAACAACAGTGATAGTTCTCTACAAAGAGACCAGTAAACATGGAAGTTTTAAGAAATGGTTCTGTGATCACTTACATGAAGGACATACATGCTAATTTGATTGCCCCAGCTGGTTTCCGTCAATGATTGAGAGTGTGTTGAGCATTCACCTGGGCCTGCCTCGCCATCTCAAGATGGTCTAGCCGCGACTGAAGCACTGACATAGCTGATGCCTTGTTCATATGCTGTGATTTGCAGCGAATCCGTCCAAGCAGAATCATTTCAACATTTGGATCCTACAGAGAACTCAGGGATTTAACCCTGACAAACATGTAAAGGTAATAACTTGAGCTTTAGACGTTAAGAAGTTTCACCTTTCGTTCTGGCATGTGGCAGTTACCCCAGTTGGAATATGAACTATCCTCACAGCACTCTCAGTCGAGTTAACGTGCTGCCTACCAGCTCCCCCAGCCCAAAACCGTTCGATTCGTAGGTCGGATTCATTGATCTGAACGTGTGTGAACCCTTCCCCAAGAATTGGAATCACGGCTACTGCTGCAAATGATGCGTGCCGCCTTTTACTGTCGTCGAAAGGGGAGATTCGAACCAGCATGTGGACTCCTACTTTTGCTTTTGCATAGCCAAATGCATACTCACCATCTAGTCTGATAAGGTAGCAAAAGAAATCTCAAATTTAGACATGTTTGGTTAACGGGAGTGAACTTGATAAAAAAAGATAACATGGAATTTCATGGACTGGATACATGGGCGGGTATGCAAAAACCTCATCTGTTCGAGGATGGGGAGAATATCAATTTTTTAGAACGAGCAAGAATCATGCACCGCAGACAACAAAGCTTCAAGCTCTTTCTCTGTGGAATTTCTTTTCATCTCAAGCAAGGCTTTCAATGATTCCTGCAGAGCAAGCACGTGACAAGTCATTGATCATGCTAAAGCTACACATGATAGGTCCAAATTGGTTAAATAACAATTTGGTGACATAATATGTTCATGTGTATCACATTAAGCATTAAGCCGAGTAAAAAAACTGAAATCTCCCTAACGGCAAATATTGATGAAATATTAGGATGAGTTTGGGGCTTAGTTGTATCAATGTTGAATTCAGCGTCCAATGTAAGATATGTAAATGAGTCCTGTAAACATATTGGTATTTAGGCCGTTCCATGTTGATAGTAGCCGACCCTTCTGATCAATAGTTCAAGACTACCATTTAAAGCTAAGCAAGAGATAAGCAGGTTCAATATATTGGTCCAGGTAAGAGTTCTACCGAGTAATCTAATCATTAGGGCACCAGGAAAAGAGCACATGCCTAAACAACAAGAAGCAAGGTTTCCCCACCGATTCCAAGTCGGAAGCCTCTGCTTCTTCGCGAACCAACTTTATCATATCAATGTGCTCAATCAGATCTTGTTCCAATGCTTTCACCTCTATCATCTTGACCATCAACGAGCCATGCTCCCGGCTTAAACTTCCCGCAAGAACAGGATCATCCCATAGGTCTGGCTTATTCAGTTGTGCTGATAGCAGATCTAATCTAACCATCAACTTCTTCCACTGCCACAAATTACAATCATGGATCACAAATACAATATCAAAACAACTAGAAATCATGCAAAAATTAACAGCCAGAGTACTGGAAATGAACTCAAATTTCAGCCACTCCAGAAACAAAGGGATGCTTTGCACCACGGTTTGTTCAAATACATGGATTACAAGAACTTGCAGGTTTTGAAATGTATAGATTATGAAATGTTCAGGTTGTAACGATGTATTGTTTTCGGATGAGCAGCAATCCATCAGATAATGAATTTTCAGGCAACAATCCACCCATTCCATAATCCAAACGACCCCTAATAAGTTCAATTCAATTCTAAATTGAACGGTCGAGTCGATTATTCCTTCCTGAATTTCCAGAGCCTAAGAACAGCCATAACCTGCAACCGCTTCTTGATGACTTGAATGGACTGAGCAATGGCAGCAGCATGGCTCTTCCAATCACTCTCACTTTCATCAAGAATGGCCCAGTTACTAGCAACAATTCTATCAACAGTCAAGGCATCAGAAGTAGACAGGTCCATAGCTGCTGTCGCATGTGTACTAAGACTACGAAGAACCCTCCTCTAGAACATAAGCTCTCTATTCAATACGACATTTGAAGAGAACTCAGAAGAAGCCAGAACCTCTTCATTCTTCCCAGCAGATTGCAAAGAGTGAAGCCTTGAAGAACGAAGGATTGCGTTCTGTGTCGGGTTCAAGAGGGCAGAGAAAGGAAGCTGCGAGGAGACTCCTGGAACAAGTCCTGGATCTTCTGAGCGCTCATATATCTTGACGATAACCTTCTTGCCGGCAACGATATGGGTTTCATCAATCACGTCAAGTCTTTCCTTGATCAGCATTTCAGCATCAAGGATCTGGGTCTTATTCTCTATTTCTTGGGCATTGAGGTTGCCCAATCTCCGCGCGGTATTATGCTCAGTCAGCGCAAGTATACCTTGGATATCCTTGAAGAATCTGGGGTACAGGCAGCTCGACCCATTTCCTTTCCAATCGAGCAGAATCATCACCTCACTCGGTCCTCTTCTCCCCCTTGGCTGACGGGTCTCCGTTTCGTCGACTACTTGGCCGTCTTCAGTACCTCATTGTCACCCGTCCGGACATCACGTATGGGGTGAACGTTCTTATTCGCTTTGTGCATGCACCCACTCAGGATCATATGGATGATGCCCTTCGAATTCAGCGCTATCTCAAGCAGTCTCCAGGACAGGGTCTCTATTTCCCCGTCGGTGGTGAGCTCGATCTGGTTGCTTACTGTGACGCTGATTGGGGTGGATGCAAGAGTACTCATCGTTCGACTACTGGTTTTTTCATTCGTCTTGGTAATGCTCCCATTTCTTGGCGTACCAAGAAAGTAGGTCATAAGTAGGAAGAAGGGAAGGAAATGGGGAAAGCCTTTATTGAAAAGATGGGGGCCCGCTGAAGATCTGGTTCCGGTTCTGGGCGTGACTGTGTGGTGGGCCCACAAGCACGCGTGGCCTGCATTTTATATTTGGCGATAGCCTTTCCATGTCATTATGACACACTAGATTATGGGCTTACGTCCCAATGATTGTTAATCCCTGGCTGCTCCAATTCCGCACGTGGATCCCTAAAACCATTCCCCTTCTATTATTTTATAATTAATTACATTATTAGCTATGTATGGATGACAACATTCATCACATCTTTTTTATTTATTTTATTACCCAGAAACTCAGTGCCACGTGCCACTTTATGATAGTGGGTCCTACTAAATTTGGGCTCACCTGCATTCAATCCGACGTCAATGCCAACAACTTTATACCTCCGGGAACACCAACGGGCCTCGCATGGATTTGAACCTGGGATCTGCAACTCCCAAGCCTTCACTGTTGTGGCAACTTACCATTCACTACAAAAACGGCAGACAATTCTGACGAAAACTTACTGACGACTCAGAAATTGCGTCAAAAAAGATGCATAATTCCGACGAACAATAGTTTTCGTCAGTACTATATGCATAATTACTGACAGAGTTGAATTTTTGTCATTAATTGTGTTTTTTTGTCATTAATATGTATTCTGGGCTGGTTTCAATTTCCAACATTCGTTATGCTTGATGATTTCATTTTCCGCGTTAGAAATACTCAATATTACTGACCAGTAAAAAATTACCGTCAGAAAAAAATGATTATTATTGACGACCAAGACACGATTGTCAAAAAAAATATTAATTTTGACGCCATAAATAGTACGTCAGCACTAATTGGTTGGGAGAAAATTATTTGTGACACAATTAAAATTTCGTAAGCACTATTTGGTTAGAAAAAAATAATTTTTGATGCAAAAAAACAGTTTGTCGGTACTGCTTGGTCAGGAAAAAATCATTTTGGACGCCATAAACAGTTCGTCAATACTATTTAGTTAAAAAATGATTTTATGTGACGGATCGAAAAATGCATCGGAAATATTGGTCATTACTGACTATATGACATAGTCATCGATAAAACGTTGTCAGAAAAAATTAAAACCTTTCTTACAAAATTAATTACCCTCGACGCGTTTTTTCTTCATAAGAATTACTGGGAGGAAGTTATGAAAATCGGGCATTTGTAAATATATCCCGATCCACAAGCATGACATTTTCTAGAAATGATTGAATTGATAAAAAATACATCTTTTTTAAGTAATTATAATAAGCACTGCTTTATAAAAAATAGAAATTAGGTAATATATGCCAATCTACAAACAAGACCAAATTAGTCCTAATCTTCAAACTCTGCTCTAGTCCAGTTTATGAAATCATTTCCCTCATTTTGGAGAACCCCATGATCATCAATTAAAATATTGTCTTCTTGATAGGCTTCTTCTAATGCTCCTTCTCCTTTTCCTTCTCTTTCTGCATTAGAAGGAATCTAAAACAAAAAATTTGGTAGTGTTTCACCCACAATTTCCCAATTTGGATCTCTCAAAGACTGCGCATAATAAACTTGAATTGCTTGACTAGCTAAAACAAATGGCTCATTCGTACTAAGCCTTCGCGTTGTGTTGATGATAATAGTGTCGTGTTCATCCTTCTTGTAACCAACGCCTTTGTGAACGGTGTCATACAACTCACACTGAAATAGTACAACTCAAAGCCCTTCAGTATAACGAAGCTCAATGATGTCGGTAAGAACGCCATAGTAAGGAATTCCACCGTCGTTCTCCCCTCTGACCAGCACACTAGTGTTCTGGCTGCTTTTGGTTAACTCGCGAGTACGAGTGTGAACTCTGAATCCATTGATACAATTGCATGTGTAGTGCAGGACTCGTTTGTCTGGCTCTCGAGCTAAGGATAACAAAGAAGGATTCAAATCTAACACTTATCATTGTGCATTCATGGAATCTGCAATAATTGTAAGGATAAAATTAAAAACAGCTTTCAATAATTTTTTTATATCAAAATTTTAATCATATATGACATACATACCTCCAATAAGAGCCACTTAGCAAATTCTTTCTTATGCGCTTCTTCAACCATAAGAGCACCTCGAGTACTTTGTTGTTCCTTGTGATTTCTATAATTTACGTTGCACAAAATATGTTACTAATTAAAAAAATTATATTCTAGCATACAACAAATAAAAAATTGGTATATATATGTACCTTATAAAATCTTGCACCTCATCACAGTTTTGTAGAACATAAGAAGTTGTTGCCTTCCACAAAACAGTATTGAAGTCTATGGAAGTGCCTTGTTACAAAAATCTCAACCCATTATCTATTTTTTGGGTGGGTTCGGGTCGGGTCAACTGGTCGGGTCGGGTCAACGAGTCGGGTCCTCATTTGCAGGGTCTACTAAATTGTTTAAAAAAATTTCAAATTAACTTCATAAAGTTACTAAATGTTAGTATATATAAGCAATTTAGTGTAATTATATATCATACCTTTCAAATAACATGTAAGAGTATGTTTACCCGCCACATCCCTTACCCACGCGGATATTCTTTGTCGGCATTCTTTTTCTTCTCTTACCGTTCCTCTCCTGAAACAATGTAAACTCACCCGCCCCGACCCACAATAGCATGTGGCGGGACATGAATATTGAGCTACCCGCCCAGACCCGCCGCATTGTCATCACTACCTCCGAGGCTAACGTGGAGCACAATATTTTTTAATTCCTTTTAAATATAAAAGAAGTAAGATAAATATATGTTTTATTTTGGCAATCTGTCAATGACCATAATTATCTCATTTGTCATTTTATTAACCCACTGTGGCCATAAAATAAATCATCTGATTAAAAGTATTAACATCAACAATTATAAAATAAAAATAAGTATTAACATTTTTAAAGGGGCCGAAGTCTCCGAAACCCTAGTCCATTCTTTTCTAAAGGCGCCGCACGACGGTTCTTCTTCCATTCTAAGAATTTGCACCCTTATCTTTCCTCTCTTCTCTTTTAAAAAGCAAAACCAAATCCGAAAGAAGCAAACTTACACAAAAATAAAATTCCATTCCCTCTCGTCTTCTCCCTCTGCCTTCCGATCTCTCCGTCTGCTTATGTTCATCGTCTCTTATTCTGCTTCTGTTCATAGCCGGCCACCAAATGCTCTTATTCTTTCTACCAAACTCGCCTTCTTCTGTTCGTAGCAGACCTATTGCATTTGTTTTTGTCATTTTTCGGAGTTCAATCAAGAAGAAGAGAAATAAATGTCGTCGGCGGAGAGGAAAGGGGCACCACTGAAGACTGGGGCGACAGGTGACTACAATCCTTTTCTTGGTTGCATTTTATTTTTGTTTATGGTTTGCTTTTATCCTGGATCCTTCTTATGGGTCGATTTAGACCATTATTTTTCGTTTTTCATTTGTGTTTGTTTGTATCTTTGGTGTTTCTGATCATGGAGGACGTAGGATAGCGATGATGACTCCACCTCACTCGGCGGCAGACTTCACCTTACCGGCGGCGGAGAAAGAACGGCGACGAGGGATGTGATTGTTGTTAATAGTTATTTAGATTCAGCCCTTATTTTCTTTTACTGTTGTATTATTTGTACATGAAATGAACTAATTATTTAGATTATTATGTAATAGCATTGTAGTTGTAGTTTTATTTAATGATATACCTATAATTGTAATGTATCGAGTGAGAGTCGCAAATTGATTAGAAAAATCATATTTCATTGTAATTCTAGCGAGGCATCAAAAAATTTGATTTATCAATAATGTACAATGTGTGAGGAAAAGATTCCTTTCATGCACAATTTCGATTGTACGAATAAATTATTTTCGTCAGTGTATCTACTTTCTTTGACGTCATGTTGGAAAAAATGTAGTTTAACGAAAGTTTGGTGGCATTCGTAAAAATAATATTTCTGACTGTCCGTCGAGAATAATAAATTATTGACGCACAAACAACCTCACAAATGTGTGTACAACGTATCAAATAAAAATATCTCGCTCAAATTCTCGTTACAAATATTTATTTCCGACGATTTGTCAACGTTAGTATAAATAGTATTAATGACGGCTAGTTAGAAATGCTTGATTATTTACG